TGTCTTTCCAGTTCCTTCTAGGGATACAGCTTTAAACAGAACTGATGTTAGTGAAATGTGGTGGTGGGAGGGACAGCTTCTATTTACCTATCTTCACACTCATCTGTGATAACTGCGCATCACTGCACCTTTTTTCCCCCCAAGGTTTTTTCCAGTAGACCAGACAGAGATCTGCTTGCCTCTGCCTCCTGAGTGCTAGGATTAAAGGTGTGGGCCACCTCTGCCTGGCCTTCTTAATAAGCCTTTTGACAGCAATGCTGTTTCTAGCTGTCTATGATAAATATCCTTTATGTAGCATTTTCTGTTGTTTTCTCTTTAAAATTACTGATTTTCTACAACTTCATCTACTTAAGTAGAAAGCTTTAGAAGCACGCAGCATGGAAAATAGCACATACTTGTCGTTTAAGTCTCCATTTACACTGTAAATACATCTGTTCTCCAACCAGAGCTGTGTGTTAGTCACTTAAAAATGTCTAGATTTAATGAAGCATGGACTTTAAAATTTACTTGTTTTAGCGTATATGAATGTTTGCCAACATGTACATATGTGCATCATATGCATGCCTGGCGCCTGCAGAGTGAGAAAAAGACACTGGAGCCCTTGGAACTGGAGTTATAGATAGTCGGGAGACACCACACGAGTGCTGGGAACCAAACTTCAGTGCTGTATGGAGCAGCATATGCTCTTAACTACAGAGCTGTTTCTCCAGCCCAAGCCCCAACTCTTTACGTTTTGAAAGATGAAATCCAATGAATTTTCAGTGTCTCAGCAATAACTTCAAGTGATTTCAGAAGCTGGGTGAGGCAGCCATGCCTATACCGTGGCACTCAAGGTACTGAGATAGGAGCACTCTGTCAAGAGAGAGGTCAACCTGGGCTACACAGTGAGTTCAAAGCCAGGCTGAGGTTACATAGTAGGACCTATCTCAAGGGGCGGGGGAGGATAATTTCTAAATTCTAAATTTGCTTTGCCATGGCCAAAATGTCTTCCTTTGCTAAAAACCAGGAAGATGTACAAAGGAGTTATGTTTAAAGCAACATTAAAAAGAACAAATTGCCAGGTGGCGGTGACACATGCCTGTAATCCCAGCACTTGGGAGGCAGAGGCAAGCAGATATCTAAGTTTTAGACAGCCTGGTTTACAAAGTGAGTTCCAGAACAGCCAGCGCTACACAGACAAACAAGTAAACAAAACATTACACACACACACACACAGACAGAAATAAGTTATCAAGTTGGCCAGCAACAAAGCTGAAAAAAAAAAAAAAAAAAAAAAAAGGCTGTTCTTCAGGAGAAAACACTTGCTGAGCATGTGCAAGGCCCTGGGGTTCATCTATAGCAACTGGCAGGCTTTTCTAAACTATGCCAGAACTATCACCTCCCTGGGGTGATGTGTAGTAGAATCTATAGGCAGGAAGGGTTAGGTCCAACCACTCATGTTACGACCTCAGTGCTCAGACCCAGTACAAGCGCCTTTTATTGATTTTCCTGGAACCCTTTAACTCATATGACCTATCAGAAGGGAAATCTAGGGAGGAAACAACAACAACAACAACAACAAAACAGTCAGCTGCTCCTCTGCGTACTATTCTAATAAAAAAGTACTGCCAGCATGCCTTCAGGATTTGGTTATTTATCAGGCAAATGTCCTGTGTGTATTATTATAATTTACAAATCAGCCTCACCACTAGTACCTCATTTGGTAATAGCTTTGCATAATAGAAAAGGGAGGCAAAAGTTGGGTGTGTTGGCTCACACCTGTAATCTCACCTCATAGGACACTGAGATACTGAGTTCCAAGTTAGCTTGACCCTCTCAAAACAAAAAGTGTGAGGTGAACAGAGGGTATCCATGGCACACTATACAGCCAGGCAAAGCTAAAATTTCTTAAATGGGGACTGGAGAAATGGCTCAGAGGTTAAGAACACTGGCTGTTCTTCCAAAGGTCCTGAGTTCAAGTCCCAGCAACCACATGGTGGCTATTAGCCATCTATAGTGATACTTAATAGCCTCTTCCAGTATGTAGGCACACATGCAGGCAGAACACTGTATAAATAATAAATAAATAAAATATTAAAAAATAAAATAAAATTTCTTAAATGAAGACGCCAGAGCTCAAGAATAAACTGACTTCCTGAGCAAAAAGAACTTACCGGGCTTCCCCTCTGTCTGAATCTATTTATTATCCCTTCATTTTAAAGCCACTAACATGGCAGAGTGATGGCACAAGGATAGCACCTGCCTGTTAGAGGCTTGCAAGCAATCTTTCTGGCAAATCTTCCATTTCCAGTATGGCCAAGAGGAATTCTTTTCTTGTCCAGGTACTGCACTCTCTTGTTTCACATGGGTGCCATGGGGCCTCATCAGGTGAAAGTCACAGGAGGGCTAAGACAAAGCTGTAGGCCCAAGCTCTAGACCAAGACAGTCACTACTCCAGAACCCTCAACTCCTGGCTGGTGGAGCACAGCCCTGGAACCATCCACACGAACACCTGTCACTCACACTGTTGTCAGCAGAAGCCACATGACTATCCTCACCGATGACTGCAGGAAGCGACCCCACAAACTGAAAACAAGATCACAACAGCAGTGTAATCCAGGCCACTTCCTGATGAGTAATTTGATTAGAGCAAGGGAGAAGCATAAAAGTGGATCAGGAAAGACAATACACAAACACAGATCAGCCAGTGTTGTGAGCTCCTTCAACTACGCTCCCATCAAGCCACCCTCATCGATGAGAAGCACCCCGAAAGCTGCCCTCCACCATCACTGTAAGGTGTGCCACAGCTAACGGTCTCCTCTACCTGAGCAAGTTCAGCCGCCCTGACAGGGTCACGAGTGATGCATCTGGAAAAACCCTGCCCTGAAGCCACAGAAGGTGACTCAGTGGAGGCTAGCCCTGGCAACACAAGAAGACCCGGTCTTTTGCAGCAAACAATTAGTCAGACACTTCAGTCTGCTGGAAAGGGGATACACAGTGGTAACTAGATGGTTCCAGGTAGATTATCAGTGATAGTAGGGTGCAAGGCTTCTCAGGGAATCTGTGGGGCTGGTTAGAGCCACGACACTTCTGACTGCTTGGAGCTGGAAGACTGCTGAGCCCTGTGTACCTGCTGTCGCTGTCGCTTTCATAGATGACAAATAATTATTAAAGGTTACACAAGTTGCTCTGGAGGGAGACAGCCTGGTGATCTGTCACAGTAGATTCCTTCCCTACCCAGACATTTAGAACAGGCTACTGGCCAGTCTGAGTGAGCTAGGGTGGCCAGGGACAAGGTGCTTTTGGGTGGAAATTTTAAAGCATAAATCCTGGGGCTAGAGACTGCTCAGGAGTTAAGAGCACTTGCTGCTCTTGTAAGAGGAGCCTGGTTTCGTTCCCTGCACCAACATGGCTCCTCACAACTATCTGTAACTCCTATTCCAGCAGATCACATGATCTCTTCTGGCCTCTGTGACACTATGTATACACATGATATACAAACAAACATGAAGACAAATCACTCATATGTATTACCATGACAACTTCAAAGTCAAATCTTAATATTTTAAAGACTCCGTGAAATTAACCAAAGAGGTTCTTTGAGGGCCACTGAGAGGACTCAGTGGGTAAAGGTGCTGGCTGCTAAGCCTGACAACCTGAGTTCAATCCCCATACTGACACTGTGGAAAGAAAGTGAACACCAGCTTTTGCAAGTGACCTCCCCATGCATACCCAGGCATATACTTCAATCCCCCAAATAAATAAATGTAGTGAAAATATTTTATTTAGGGTTTTTGTTTTATTTTGAGACAGAGTTTCTCCATGTATTCCTGACTGTCCTGGACAGCCTGTAGACCAGGCTGGCTTCAAACGCACAGCAAACTTAGGGCTTTGCACATGCCAAACCAGCTACCCTGAGCTGCAATCCCCAGCTAAAATTTTAGAGAAACTTTAAATTCAAATAAAAGTAAAGGACTGGAAATCTATCTCAAGGGTAGAGCACGCACCTACCATGTGTGAGGCCCTAGGTTTAATCCCCAGTTTACGGAGCGTGTGGAAAGCAGGCTAGAGTTAGAGCTGAAATAAAGAAACGAAAGCAGAGGAAAGCTGGTGGGAGAGGCAGGAAGTGAGCCTAGGCATAGTGAATCCAAGTCCAGCCTGAAAACTTAGACTCAGTGTCATCATAAGAGAGAGAGAGAGAGAGAGCAGGAGAGAGACACTTTAGCTTGAAACTCTATTTGGTTCTAAGAGCAGAAGCATCGAGCCCAGACAGTCCAAGACGACTAGAAAAGCGCAAACTGCAAAACAGGAAATAGCTCTTGGCTAGCTGTCAGAGAACTGTGAACTGCTGAAAATTCAATCTATTTCAATTTTGAGTTTCTTAAACCTCATAGTGTATGTGCAAAGCCCTGGTTCATCCAGCACCACAAAACAAAACTAACACAGCCTCTAACTTAGCAAATTCTTTAGATGTCTGCTACTTAAAAATCCCCCAGCCCAAGCCTTTAATCAGCCTAGATCTCTTTTGTCCTGTTTCTGAAAATGCGACAGTCCTACCCAAGCCATATTTACTGTCTTGTCCCTGTGGCTGGACATTGCCCTCAACTGGTCTCGCCGTGTTGCCTGGGCTGGCCGCCAAGTCCTGAGCTCAAGTGGCCCTCTTATCTCAGCCGAAGAAGCAGGGACTAAGCAACATGTACCTGCCTCTCCCCAAAGGTCAAGCATGACGTCATGTTCCAGCTGCAAACGAACCACCTCTCCCCAAACAGCCTATAAGCTCGTGAGCAAGCAGGGACCCTGTTTCCAGTATCATCGCCTCCTCCAATTCCTTGCCTGCGGTAGGCACTCAAACGATTACCGAATGATCAAGAAAAGTACTTACCAGTCTCTTCAGGTGCCTCAAACTACAGGGCCCGGATTAGACATCCAACCTAAGGTTAGACAACAACCTCATGTTTAAAAGGCATTATCTAGAGACAGAGGAGCTTAGAAAATCGAGCTTTTTAAACACCGCAGCCAGATTTCCATAGAAAGAAGAAAAATAATTTATTCCCAAAGATGTAGAAGTAAGAAATTCATCCTGAAAATAGAGCTTGGTGTACATCTGCTGGGTAGGGCTTCTCTTGAGCGGGCATTCCTGGCTGTCCCAGTGTGTCTGGTTTGTCTTGTAGCGATTTTTAAATACGATGCTGACTCTCAGGTTGTAAGCTGGCAAGAGCCATATTCAAAGCCACGGGCTCCACAAGAGTGACAGGTTTCTCAGAGCAGCACCTTCTCTCTCAGCGGAATGTAGACATCTCACAGAGTCAGCTAAGTAGGCACATCATTCATTGAAGTGTAAAAAAGGTGAAGGGAAAAATACTGTATGCAGAGGAAGGTCCTCAGTGTAAGGCAGGTAATGCCGGAAGAAGGCTATTGAAGGAGGTGGTCTGGGCAGGGGCAACTTTGCATCTAGAAGGCATTCTCTCGTTGACCTGCAAAACAAAACATTTCTAGTAACTTAAGGCTCTCTAACATCTAGGTCCTTCAGCCTTCTTCAAAAGAGCAGAAAGGAGTCTGGAGAGGTGGCTCAGCAGTTAGGAACATTGGCTGATCTTCTAGAGGACTTGGATTCAATTCCCAGCATGCATGCACAGGGCAGTTTACAGCCATCTGTTAACTCTAGTCCTAGGGGGGACCTGATGCCCTCTTCTGGCCATTCAGGGCACTGCGCACACATGGCGCCCACACATAAAATTTAAGAAATGGAGGGGGCCGATGGTACAGAGACAAGAACTAAAAGAAGCCAGGGCTATGGCATACATGAAGCAAGACACCCTTATGCATAACATTTAAAAATGGAAGAGAGTAGAGGAGAGCTAGAGCAGAAGGGAGGAAAGCAGCCAGGTCTACAACCCCAGCTACTCCAGACACAAAGGAAGAATCGTAAGACCAGCTTCAGCATTAAAGCAAACAAAAACTGAGCCAGGGGGTAGTGATGCAGGCCTTTAATCCCAGTCCTCAGAAAGCAGGGGCAGGCAGAGCTCTGTGAGTTAGGGGCTAGCCTGGTCTATAGAGCTAGTTCCAGGCTAGCCATGGCTACATAGTGAGACACTGTCTCAACAACAAAAATAGAAAGTGGATTACAGATATAGTTAGTATAAAAAAAATTCATCAAAGCCAGGCATGACCCACGTAGTCCCAGCACCCAGGAGGCTAAGGTGGAGGACTGTGAATGTGAGGCCAGTCGGGGCAACATAGCGAGACTCTGTCTCATCCTCCTCGCCCTAACACAGAGTTAGCCAGGTCAATACTTTAGAAGGCAAAATAAGTGCTCAATTAAAACTCGGAAGGACAACAGGCTTGCTCATCACACAGGTTTGGGCAGGTTCTAGAGGAAGTCCCATTACCAAGGATATCACTATCATATAACCACACAGACAGCAATGTGACTTACCAGAAGCAGGAAACACGAAGCCTACTAACACAAGAAGCAGGAATCAAGTGAGTTCCTGTGCTTTCCACTTCCCCTTCAGGGCAGACAGCTGGTTGCCAATCTGGGCTCCCTCCGTTCTGCCTCCTGACTAGCAAGCTCTGTCTTATCTGCAACACTCTAGGCTGCCTTTCAGGCTGTTCCTCATTCTGACTACCCCAAGTACAGGTGACAATGACAACATCACCCAAGTTAGGATGGCAAACGTTTAACATGCTGGCCTGCTCAGTGGGGGCACGGGATGTCCTTAAAGTAGGAATCTCAGGCTCGACAATGGCTCAGTGGCTCAGAGTGCTTGCTCTGGGCTAGAGAGCGGGCTCGGCCATTAAGGACTGGGCTCATAACCAAAAGGACAATGCTGCTCTTCCAGAGCTTAGTTTGGTTCCCGGTAATGCCATCAGAGGTTCACAACCACCTTCTGGAGTCCCAGTAACCCTACTGCAGGAAACTGTAAACAATATGCATTCAACTCAAGATTTAGAAGCAGATCTGGGACTGTGGCTCCCTGACAGTATGGCAGAGGCACACTCAGCATGCCCTGGATCCTGAATTCAATCCTCAGCACGGACAAGAGAAGTGGAGTGACTCAGGGAGCACTTCTACAGCGCAGTAGGAGGACATCAGGCTGCAGTGCCCTGCCACTGCCAGAGCAGATCGTTCTTGTGGTCTCCAGTCCCCTCCTGGCCCTGGCTGGGGCTGGCAAAACAGCCACTCTGTAGAAACTGTCTTAGGCAGATGATAACATTAGCCTGACAAAGCAGCTGTTTCTGTGGGAATCTTCCATGAGTATACTGACAGACTCCCTTACCCTTTGGACTTTTTAAAGCTTTATTTTCTTTTCAATTATGTGTATATATGTATATGGGGGGGGGGGGGAGATATGTGCACGTGTGAATGCAAGTATCTGCAGAGTCCAGAAGAGGGCCTTGGATCTCCTGGAACTGAAGTTGCAGGAGGTTGGGCCCTCTGTAAAAGAGTATGCACGCTTAACCCCTGGACCATCTCTCCAGCCCACTCTTTTGCCTTTTCTTATAAAGAATCGGAAAGGGGAGAAATGACCTTCACTTTTTAATAAACACAAACAACTGGAATCTACTCCCCCCCTACACACACAGGGTTTCTTTGTGTATCCTTGTGCTTTATAGACCAGGCTAGCCTCGACTCACAGATATCTACCTGCCTCTGCCTCCGAGTGCTGGGATTACTGGTATGCCACCATGGGAGCTACTTTTTATTCAGCCCCAAACTGTGATGGCTACAGTTAAGTGTGCTACAAGGCGGGGTTCTGTGGCTGGATGAGTAAGAAGCATGGAATCCTCTCCATGATGTGTAAATAACTAGCTGTGGATGGAGCTGGAACAATCAATCCAGAATTCACAGTGTTGTTTTGTAAAACAAAGGAATCACTCAGGCAAGCAACAGACAAACCTGAGAATGGTGATGGGAGGAGGACTGAGAATAAAGTAACTTAAAAATACCTAGGCCAGCTAGACAGTGGTACCACAAGCCTTTAATCCCAGCACTCAAGTGAATCTCTATGAGTTCCAGGCCAGTCTGGTCTACAGATTGAATTCCAGGACAGCCAGGACTACACAAAGAAGCCCAGTCTTGAATACTCCGCCTCCCTGGCCAGAAAAAAACCAACCAACCAAACTACAAAAAAAAAAAAAAAACAAAAAAAAAAAAACACAAAAACCCAACAACAGGCCAGAATGAAGAAACCCATTCAAGAAAGGGTATATGAATGAATGTGTCTCTGTCTGTCTGATTCTTGTTTCCAAATCTTTATTTTACATAAAATCTCAAATTATTCTTTATTATAATATATAAAGGTAGTTTTATTCAACGATATGACTAGGCTAGTTGAAGGTGCAGGCATTTAACCATTCAAGGCAATATACCAAAAGAGTCGTTAAAATTTAGGAAGCTAAATGCATCTAGAATTGAAAGAACTCACTTAGAAACAGCATCTAGGAAACAAGTACAGGATTTGCAGGCTGAGTCCTGAAGCATCCGAAGCACTAAGAGATGGTGAGAGCTGAGGCAAAGCTAGGACCATGTCCAATGAAGTGTGCTCTCCCGTCTAAGTGACGTGAACACTGTAGAGCAGTGGGAGGCAGAAGAACGATAATGAACATGAAAAGAGCAGGCCTGGAAGCTTCCGGTGAGGAGAAAGGATCGGGAAGATAGGAGGAGGGGGCTCCCGGGCACACGGGGCAGGCCTTGAGGGCCACGTGGAGGGCTGCTCATAACCTGCACATTAAATGTTCTCTTTCTTCACTTTCCCAGTTCTGTGACTCAGGGAGCTTTGATGACCCTGTCAAAAGCTGTGTGTGAACATCTTAGATTACATCTCAAGGGGTACACTGCTAGTAAAACTAGGTAGTACATGCTAGTAATCCCAGTACTCAGAGAGTCAGAGGCAGGTGGATCTGTGAGTTCGAGGCCAGCCTAGTCTACAAAGTGAGTCCAGGACAGCCAAAGCTACATAGAGAAACCCTATCTCGAAAAACCCAAAAAACTCAAACCAACCAACCAAACAAACCAACAAAAACACTAGATTCTTCATGTTAAAGCAACAACAAAAGCTGAGTCCACCATGGTCCAGAACTGCTCAAAACTTCTAGGCAGACAGCAATCTTTCTCAAGAAGTGCAAGGAGGCTGGCGACATGGCTTAGTCAGTTCTTAGGAACACTGGCTGCTCTCACAGAGGACCTGAATCCAGCTCCTGGCACCACATGGCAGCTCACAACGCCAGTTCCAAGGGATCTGATGCCCTCTTCTGCCTTCCTCATGAATGTGATGCACAGACATACATGTAGGCAAACATTCATACACACAAAAGTAAATATGTAAGTATATACATATTAAAGCAGGCTGAGAATATGGCTCAGTTCTGTTCTGAACTCTTGACAGTAACTTCCCTTTAATAAAGTAACAGAGAGAAACTATTCGAATGACACATGTCCTGGCACTCAGCCAATGAACAGATCTTTGCCACTCACCACTGTTTACCACCTGGTCTCAGGATCAAATAAAGTTGCAGTGGTGGGATCAGCTTCCTCTTGTTTTGTGCTGTCTGAGTCAAAGTCTTAGTGTGTAGCCCAGGCTGTCAGGAACTTGCTAAATAGCCCAGGCTGGCTTTGAATTTATCATCCCCCTGCCTCTAAAATCAGTGCTGGAATTATGGGTATGCACCACCATTCCCAACTTTCAAAAGGTGCTTGTCTCCTTCTCCCAAAAGCACTCTAAGACATTAATTTTAAATATTTTAGCCTCTTCTTCCAGTTGCTACAAAACTAATCATACTCACTTTTCTAATCTGTGTCAGAGGTCTGTGTGCTAGCCTAATTCCATAATCCACACTCATATACATGCACACACAGATCAGGGGACAACTTTTAGGAGCTGGTTTTCTCTTTCAGCAGATCGATCCCCGGGATGGAACTCAGGTCTTCAGGATTGGCAGCAAGTACCCACTCTGCCATCTCTCCAGCTCTGCCTTACATTTAAAAAGGCAGGACAATCACAGAACCTAAAAGAAACTATGGATAAACCCCTAAGACACACAAAAGGAGAACGGTTCTAATCATGCCCTTGTTCGTTAGACCATATTTTCAAACTACTGTCTGTTCTTTGGCTGTTTTAAAATGGACATGAAGTTCTGAGGAAAAAGCCATAGCAAACACTCTCTCTGACTGGCTGGCAATGTTCCCATGTAAGGACAAGGGCAGTCACCTCAGCACCTGGGCACTGTGCAGCACGTCTTCATCCTCAAGGCCAGTGGTACTTCAGATACCAGATGGTCTCATTTTTCAGCTGTGGTCCAAAGAGAGGATTGAGCTGGGCCAGAATTGCAATCAGCCAACTAAAATTCATGGGGAGAAACAAGTGCAAAAAGTGTGAAATTGGCTAAAACACAACCATTTTCATACACAATGGAAAAACCATGTTATTTCAACTTCAGTGTATTCCATTCTGACCAAGCCTTCACTACCTGCTGTGCTCCTGGGATACAGCTGACCAGAGAGCATTTCCCAGGGTGCACTGTGCCTTCATGGGAGATGATCCACAGAGCAGGGAGGCTCCATCACAGCTGAGTCTCTCTCTGCCTTTTCACCATGACTTCATGACCATGCCATTTAACTGAGCTATGCCAAATTCACATCTTTCCCACCAAGTGTGTCTCCCTCCTCACAGTTTGTCACCACCACAACTTCCAGACAAAACAGGTTTTGTCATCTCCAGTGTACAGACAGTAAGGCAGTATTTTAGGGGTACAGTTAAGATCTGATTTCAGCACACGAGGTTCCTAATCACCATCACGATAAAACACGTCAAAACATTTTGTGGGCCCTACCACACAGAACCAAGTGGGCATTTACTTCTGCATCTAAGTCACAGCGTGTGCCTCTGGTTACGTACAAATTACAAGCACCTCTTGTAATTTAAGGCTAACTAAAGCAGCAGTTAGCCTTAAATTTTTCTTATGCCTTTGCAAAGTTCTACATAAATCATTTTATATCCGATAAGGTAATTCATGGGCCCAGTGAAATTTGAGAACCAGAGTAAGGACAAAAGCAAGGATTAAAAAGAAAGGAAGCTGCAGGTGTCTGGCTATTCAACCATTCTGTTTTACTTACTGAACAAATATTTAATGAGCAATTTCTAGGTCCCAGGTCCTAGCAGCACAGGGAAGAGGACATGTCAGTCCTCCTCAGGGATCTTATGTAACTGCTATAAAGAGAAGAAAAGCAGGGATAGGGAGTGGAAATGGGGCTAAAAGGGTGGCCAGGGAAGAAGGGACTATCTGAAGCGACTAGAACGATGCCGAAGCCATTATGTCTTTGGTTCCTATTCAGACTGTCTCTATGGAAGGTAGGAGTGGGGGTAATGTGGGGGTTGCACAATACTGACACTCCGGCCCTAGAACAATGACTTTCAGTAGCACAAGCCCATGTTACCCACCTCTTGCATGTAGTCTAGGGAGTTGCTTTCTGAGGAAAAGGAGACAAGATGACCGCAGTGGTCTCTCTTTAAACTCCCCTCCAGGAAGAAGACCAGCCAAACCCAACTGGACCACTATAAGGTTGGTCTCTTCTTCCTTTGGCTGTCATTTTTGGAATCCTTCCAATCGTTAAGACCAGAAAGGCAATTCTGATCACCAATGGAGACTGCCGGGGAAGACCACAGCACAGCCTCAGGTCCTGGTCCCCACAGATACTAGGCATGTGTCTCTTCTCAGCCCACAAAAGGTCATTTTGTGATGAGAAATGCGATACAAGAGGAAACCAGGCCAAAACTGATACCTCAAGCCGACTCACTTTACAAACAAAGAGTTAATTCAGATGAGATTCTCTGATGGCCCTTAGAACTAGTTTCTTAACATAAACACAACACCAAGTAAGGCTTTACATACACGGGCGCACACATACTCACAAACACACACAAACACACACAAACACATACACACACACACACACACACACCACCGACAACACAGGCAGACACTGCACTGCAGAAAAGCTCTGAGGCCAGAAAGTCATGGAAAATTCCACCCAAGCCCAGGGTTTCCCCAAGCCCAGTAGGAGATGCAAGCTGCCGGCAGGAACAGTTCTGTGTTTCATAAGAGACTGTGCTAACTGGCAACACTTAGAAACTTCAAATTAAAAAGATACATCAGAGCCCACACTGTCCCCAGCACCTTTCCTCACCATGAGTGTGTGGTGAGCAATAAAAACATTATCTTGGGCCTGGACAAATGGAGCAGTGGTTAAGGGCAAATGGTGCTCCTCCAGCAGACCTGAGCCTGCTTCCCAGCATCCACACCCGGCAGCTCACCATTGTCACTTCAAATCCAGATATGATGTCCTCTTATGGCCTCTGCAGTAACACAGACAGACACAGACAGACACATCTCCCAGCACCTCAGAGGTATAAAGTGGAATGTTCTCAACCTCAGATGCATATACTAGACATCCCAGAGCTTTTCTGAAAATCCTTGGGGCAGGACAGAAAGAGAAAATTAAAGTACCGTGGGAAAGGAAAGGCTGAAATCTCTCACTAGAAGTACAACTGACAAAATTTGCTGTGAAGACTGCTTTCGTAGAGACAATATTCCTTTTTATGCAGAGGTATTTCAAATAAGAACAGTAAAATAGGAATGAACTATGCTGACGGCCAAAGCATATTAGACCTCTGCCTTTAATCTTATTCCTTTCTTAGCTGTAATCTGTGACTTCCTGTGGCTCTCACCAACAAGATTATGAGATTTGTTTGTAGTTAAACAAATGTCTTAACTTCCCTGTGCCTGAAGCCACTTTTACCCTTGTGACCTAAGCTTAAGGACCCATCTATGGTCTCATTTACTACAAGAATCCTTTGAAAATGGCACCCAAGAAACTAGCACTATCACATGTAGAGCTATTGTTAAGACACAATCATGAGACAAGGTCTCATGTGGCTCAGGCTGCCCTTAAACTCCTTTATGTAGCCAAGGATGGCCACACCTCTCCAGCTGCTGGGGCCACACGTTGTCCACCAGACACTGTTGCTCTCCAGAAACCCTCACACCCATGAGCTGGGTATGTACTGTCCCCTGCCCCTCTATCTTTCAATGCCCATGCTTCGATCTATGTTAAAGCCTGCTTCTCGATAAACAACAGCTTTTCTTCATATTGACTCATCCTAAAATTCTTTACAAGAGCCTGGCTGGAGAACTCTTCAGGCACCTGCAGGAGGCTTGCCTATCTCTCTGTTGTCACCATGCTGTACTCACACAGTTAAGGAGCCTGAGGCAGGCAGAGAAAGGGGGAGTGACTCACAGCGCTAAGTAGGCAGAAGCAAGCAGCAGATGACCAGAAAATAGCCCAGCTAATACAGTTGCTGACGGCTGGCCTCTGAGGTGCTGTGAATGAAGATGTGAGTTTAGCTAGGTCTAAATTGTTTGTGAATTAAAGAAGTGAGAAGCCAGCCTTTGGTGCCTGGCCATGGTGAACAAGCATCAGAAGCAAGAACGAATGAGGACCAGTCTCTGGAACGGTCAGTCTCTGGAAGCTTCCAGAGTTTAACACATGCTCCATGTCCTGCATTCTTTAGAGATTGTATCTCATTACGTTTTCCAGACTAGTTTCAAAGTCTTAGGCTCAAGGGATCTTCTTGAGTAAAAACTAAGTCACCATCATCATCCATTCAGTTTATAGCCATAGGATAATTCGTTTTGTTTTGTTTTTTCAAGCAGTTTAGACAGAGCCCAGGACTTTGTGCACGGTAAGCAAGCGCTCAAATACGCAGCTACACCCAACCCCCCCCCACATACAATATTTTCAATGTTTCAAATCAAGAGACAAGAAAAAAACCTCAACCCCCACCCCAACCTCAATATACACCCCAAAACAAAAACCTGTTAGGAAAAATGCCTGGAGAAACAGTGCAGGCTATTTCATTTGAAATTTTAGAGGAATTTTCCCTCCCTTAACCAGCTGAATGAACTCAGTGCCTGCCCTTCTGACTACCCACAGACTTCAAATTTGCCTTTGAAGCTGATAAACACAAGAAGCCCTGGAAGAAAGAGAAGCCCGCTGAGCTGATGGAGGCGAGTGGAGGAAGGGCCTGAGCGCTGGCGGATTCTGCTTGTTGTGTAACCAGAAGGAACGAACTGTACCCTTCCACTTGCCCAAACTGTTCCACATGGCTCCACAGCCCAAAGGCCTAACAGCCATCAACTGTAAGGCGCCTGAGAGTCGGCAGGGGCACAGCGGCAGCTAGGGGGACTGAAGGACTGGGGTGGACCCGGGGCAAATGCATGCTCTTTTTTGGGGGGGGGTTGAGGGTGAATAGGACCTACAGATACTAGCGCTCTTATCACTGAGGTACATTCTCAGACTTTTCTCACTATTATTATTCTTTTTTTATTTTGAGATAAGGTCTTGGCAAATTGTCCAGGCTATTCCTGAACTCACTGTAGCTCAACTGTCTAAGGATGCCCCACCTATTCCACAACCACTCTCAGGGGGCCCCACCACTTCGGGCGGGCTCTGAGGTTGCCAAGATGCAGGCTGAAGGGCCTGAGCCACCGAAGATGGCAAAGGAGTCAGGCTGGTGGCCCCCAGCATGGTTGGAAGAACTCCCCAAGCACAGAGTACACTGCTCTGCACAGAAGCTGTACGCAGCTCTCAATCCTGCTTAGTGCTTTTGTTCCATGTGCAGAAGGAAAAACAGGGAGCATGGGTGTGGCCTAGTTCCTGGTGAGGCACAGGTGGGCCCTTCTCAACTTCCGTGTTGAAATAAGGAAATCCAGCCAGGGATGGCCCCTCCACCCACTGTCCTCCTAGCCCTTACCATGACAGGAGTGACCTCTGCCGGTAGGGACATTTTTTTATGTGGCAGCAGAAACATATGCAAGTGTCTTGCCCTAGCTCCTGACATGACATCAAACCCTTTCTACAATCAAATGACACAAACAGTGTAAAAGACAAGGCATCTACATTGGCGCTACTAGGAAACAGGGAGATTTGGTAGTAGACAAAGTTAGATTTTTAACCTGAGTATACGAAATGCTGGTCAAATGACTCTAGCAAGTGACCTTACAACCCAAGCTTGTTTCCATTTGTAAAGTGGAGCCAAAATACTTGCTGCAGGGCGCTAGGAAATAAGGCAATAACAGGGGCTCTTGCAGTGGCTGGCAAGCAGAAGTTCAAAACATCCTACTCTCCTTGCTTTTCTTTATCTGTGAGACAGCTAAAAAATGTACCCAAGCCACAGAAGGAGACACAAGAGATTCATTAAGAGTTTTTCAGAGTATGTGGCACTGCTCCAGTATCACTGCTACAGATGCTCCCGTAGACCATCTCATGCTAGACAGCAGGC